CCAAATTCATTTGCCAAAAAAGGGGAGGGGCACAAATATTCTTGAAGCTTCTTTGGGGGTGTGTTTGTCAGTATTACTTGAAAACAGGTTACAAAGATTGTACAATAGTGGGATTTTGTGGTGGTGTATGATCCAGTCCATTTCTATTCAGCAGTAGAGCAGACGCGTGTTGGAAAGACTTCCCCACCATAAAGGGTCTCTCACGAAGGAAGGCAGTGAAGACACACCCTCTGTTCATCACTCCGTGCCTCAGTTTCCTTCTCTGAACATAACACTCCCTTCCTCAGGAGGCTCATGGCAAGCAGCTGAGTTAAGGGAACTCTAGAAAGTTCTAGAACGGTGCCACGCAGCAGGAACTCAGGGAATGCAGGCCACTGCTATAGTCTGGACAGTTTTCAGTGAGCTTCACCTTGTTCTTAAAAATGGAGCTTGAGAAGGCCCACAGCCGCCGCCATGTCAGCTCCTCCACTCGCCCTACTCCACTTAATCTCTAAGTGGCTGAAATTCCCAGCTGAAAACTCTGGGCACCCTCTGGAGGGGGTTGGGGGGCTAAGCCCCCACCCTGCTGAAGCCCTGGCAGCTGCATCCATACTCTAACAGCTGCCACCATGCTAATGTCCCAACTCCACTATTTCTCAACAAATATCTGCAGAGATACTAAGCTTCAAAAAATTCCAGATACATCAGTTTTCAGGAGGAAAACTCTGGGGTCTTCTTGGAGTGGGGGCAGACAGTCTTCCCCCAAACCGTCGGTACTTCCAGAAGCCCTGGCAGTCACACCCACCTCCCAAGGCCATCAGCACGTCAACTCATCGGCCTGTTCTACAGATCCTGAAGGTTCTGAACCATGAGGCCACATATGCAGCCACATGACACCACTGAATTCCGTAGAACTGACAGCCCAGTTGCAGCACACCAAATTAAACAAGAAAGTAACACAGAAGTCAACTAAGCTCAATAAATAAAGGCAATTAACAGAGGAGGCTCAACTAGCGGCAAGCAGCTTACTAAGTCCTCAGACAAGGACTTCAATGATTCCACAGTAAGATAAAACAATTTTCAAACATTTTCTTTTACTGAAGTAATTTGAATAATTCCATTAGCCATTTTTTGTTAATAGGTAAAGGTAAAGGTAAAGGTAAAGGTAAAGGCCCTCCTGTTGTTCATCGATTTGCTCGAGCGGGCCCAGTAACGTCTCCATTGGAGACTTTGTTGTTACTGTGTTTGGCATATTGAATACATCACGGGTGGCTTGCCAGGCTCTGCCATGCGGGCGAGATACTCTCAGTAGCTTGCCGGGCTCTCTGAGAGGGGCGGAGGAATTGAACTCGGGTCAGCCATGTTGGCTGCATGCAAGGCAAACGCCCTACCCGCTGTGCTATAAGCAACATAAAATAAATTATTGTGTGGCTGCAAAGAGGGAAGGCTTGGGGATGGTTGTGAAAATGAGGACAATGGTGTAGAGTAGGTCACTCAGGTGGTGGGATTAGTGTTGGAACATCAAAAGTCTATAACAAGTGTATTGTAAACACCTTTGTAAACCACAGTGCTTAAATAAGATTTAAATGGAGCTTTAGAGATAGGATAAGGACTAGGGGCATGTGCAAAGCACGTGTGGGACCCGACTTTGACGCCTGGTGTCAAAACTTCTGGCCCAGTTGACTATCACTGGGAGTGACCCCTGAGCACTGTTTTAGAGGTGCTCTCCCCCACCCCCCGACCACAGCAAAAACAAGCAAAAATCATTTTTTATCATCCCCCTAAAAGGTTATTTGGATACAATGATCATTTAGAGTATTCCAGTAACCAGGAAATGCACTCAGACTGGCTCAAAAGAAGGGGACTTGTTACCAACATTGTAAATCACGGTTCCTAAAATTAAAAACTTGGTTTTTAAAAATTCCATTTTTTAAAAAACAAGCCTCTAAAGAGAAGTTTTATAGATTCCTCAGGCACCAAAGTCATGACTTAACCCACTGCAAGTTAATTCTAACCCATCAAAAGAGATTTCACAAAGTTAAAAATATAGTTAGAACCTAAGGGAATGACAAAACATTCCACCTTACTAGAGTCATCTGAAAAACTGTAAAATTAGGGGCTCAGAGGATGCAGAGGATGGCTCGGGGGTATGAAGCAATGATTCCATTCCCTGGCATGGCCCACATGCATCGACTATGTTATCAGCAGCCCTGCTGTCTGCAATCCCCAGAGAGACAGAGAAGCTCTCCAACCAAAAGTGTGAGCCTGAACACTGCAACTACAAGTGAGAGAGGCCTGGAAGCACCACAACTTCAGTGACATACAACCCAGTCACTGCAAGTAGAAGGAAGGGAGGGAGGGAAAACTGAAAATTAAAAACTATTACTGTTGGAGGGGCCAGATAGTACAGCAGGTAGGGCATTTGTTTGTATGTGGCTGACCAAGTTCAACCCCATGGTCCCCTGAGCACTGCCAGGAGTAAGACTTGAGTACAGAGCCAGGAGTAACCTCTGAGCATTGCCAGGTGTGACCCCCCCCCAAAAAAAAAAGTGTTACTATTGGGATGGAGAGATAGTACCAAGGACTGGCCTTGCATGCACTTAACCCTAGTTTAATCCCTGGCACGATATATGATTCTCTGCGTACCACTAGGACTGGTCTCTGAGCACAGAACCAGGAGTAATCCTGAGCACAGCCACGTGTGCCTCTGCACCTACACCAACAACAACAAAATGTTAACTAGATTTTTTTTGTGGTGCCAGGGATCCAACTCAGACTCTGACATGCAACGCAGGCAACTACAACACCGCTTTGCTGTTGCCAACTATTAACCAGGAAAAGCCTGTGCTTCGAAAGATACCCATCATGAGAAAGAGTGAAATAAAGCCAGCGCCTCACACAGTGTCAGAGAGAGAATGCGCCAGGGCAAGCCCCCAACAGAGCACGTGGGCGTGTCTGTACGGAGAGATAGCAAAGATCCGTTCTTCCACCCAGCACTTCCTTTTTTGAGAATCGAACCTTAGGATATAAATGAGGGGCAGTCACGCCCACCCTCAAGTTCTCAGCAGCAGCAGAGACTAGTTCCAAGAGAGGAAAATCTGGCAATGCCCATGCATGCCAAATTGTGCGTGATCTACACAATGTTTTCCCAAGTGGATTCATTTCAGCATCCATGAGAAAGGGAACTACACAAAGAAACCTAGAAAAACATTAAAAGGCTGAAAACATTACCTAAAAAAAAAAAATCAAAATATAAAAGTGTAACAACCAGAGTGCTAGTGTTCAGAAAGCATGCGCCTTGGTCTGCAAGGGGCCTGGGTCCCTTCTCCAGAGTCAACAAAGCAGAGGAATTACAACCGGACAGAGGCTGAGCACAAATCTCTCTGATGCCAGGAAGAGGCTGGTAGTGATTTTCCCACGAAGGGACAAAGGCTTCAGTGTGATTCTGCTTTTTCCTTCCTCTCCGCTGTCCTGACTACAAGACGGGATAGTATTACCTTTATGGTTACAAGTTGCTTCCTGTCTTAGCAAATCCTTCCCTCAGTGCAGGTACAAAATATCTGCTCTGACAACCTCTCTGGAATCTTCTTTCTCCCCTGGGAAAGGGCAAGAAGCCTTTTGTTGTTGTTGTTGTTGTTTTTAAGTGGATGACCTTTCAAAGGCCAATGCTCTCTCTCTCTCTCTCTCTCTCTCTCTCTCTCTCCCCCCTCCCCTCCCCTCTCCCCGGCAAGCCCCTTCACTCTCTTCCTTCAGCTCTCAAGCTGCCCCACAGAGCCACGGACATTTCTCCACAGTCCCAGAGGCCCGTTTCCTCTTTTAGAAAGAGGATGGCGAGGTGGGGCAAAGAGTGAAACGGGCCATTCCAAGATGCCGATGGAAAGATGGTCCAGCTGTGAGCTGGAGGGGGTCTGGCTCATGCTGACTCCGGCTGACACCCGTGTGTATTTCTGTCGTCTGGGTAGAAAGAAGTTTCTCAACTGCCTCACATCACTTAGCTCAGCGGAAGTCAAACAGCAAGGGATTTAAATAGCCACCAAGCAAGACGACAACAGTTACGTTTTCCTGCAGCTATGTAGGAAACCTCACGGAGAGGATCGTGAGACCAACTAATGGCCACGTGACCAGGGATCTCAAATGTAAAACCACAGCAGGCCACTGCATCACACATCCCCATGATAATGATCGTGCCAAAGAGTATGTGGCACTTTGCCCCATTACCATGGGGTCCCCAAGCCCCCTCTTGTACACTGATCTGGTCTGTGCGTTCTGTGGGTTAGGGGTACTGATGCCATCTTTCCCAACCACCTACCCCCACCCAACTCAACACCTCGCATGTAATTTTTCATGACTCCAAATCCTGAGTACAGCTGTCCCTTGGTATTCATGGGTTTCAGATATGGTCCCATACAAGAATCCAACATGTGTACCCTGCCTGGGCATACTGCACCAACGGACATCCAAGATTAGTGGGACGGGTGAAAAGTGGAAGTCACATTTCAGAGCCCCACCCCCACCCCACAAGCAGTGCAAACAAGTATCGTGCATGGGTCAACAAGACGATCTGTTCAGAGTCAGCTCCCCCTGATCAAACCATCAAGACCAGCCCACACGTGGCTGCCAGCAGGGCCCAGAAGTCATGCGGCTCTGGGCTTAAGTGCCAAGTGTGCTGCGTGCCAGTTGGGAGATTATGGAGCTGCTTCTCCACTGGGAGTCTCAGATTCCTCCTCTGTCAAGTAAAGGCCATCAGCATACCAGGGTGGGGGGGGGAGGGGGTAGGCAGAGTGCGGAGGGGGTGGGTACGGCGGCCTGCGTGCCCCTAAAGTCACAGTGGTATCCCCACCCAGACTCCCATTCTGCTCTGGCATGGAGGGTACGACCATGGACAGTCTGGAGCTCATGCCCACCAGCCCGCAGCCAGCAGGACCCTGCGGGCCAGAGCCAGAGCCAGAGCAGGCACTGCCCACCCGGCTGCCCACTCACTCCCCAACCCCCGCCCACCGCAGCCCAGGTTGGCCACTCACGGCACTCCTTCTCGTCGCTCTTGTCGAAGCAGTCGGGGAGCCCGTCACACTGCCAGGCGCCCGGGATGCACCGCCCATTGCTGCACATGAAGTTGCCCGGGATGTTGCACTCATTGGTGAAGTTGTTCCCGGGGAGCAGCTGGCTCTCTAGGAGGAAGGGGAGGCGGGAGGTGAGCGCGCACAACCCATGGAGGGGGGGGGGAACCCCAGAAAACTCCTTCGGTACCTTCAACCGCTTGTACCTCAGTTTTGTCACCTGGAGAATGGATTCATCATCCCCCATCCCACCACCACCAACCACCACCACCACCACTACCACCAAGGCCTCCTGGACCTTGCACTGACTAAATGGGAAAATGTGTGAGCCTGGCATCCACAGCTGCTCAGAGGTTCATTTTGTTGAGGGGTGCACAACTGGCTGTGCTCAGGGTTCACGACTGGCTCTGTACTCAGGGATCACTCATGAGTAGAGGTTTAGGGGGACGATATGGGGTGTCTGGATCAAACCCAGGTTGTCCGTGTGCAAGGCAAGCATCCTACCCGCTGTGCTCTCTCTCCAGCCCAATTGTTTTTTTTTTTTTTTTAATTTGTTTTGGGGTCACATGCAGCAGTGCTCACGGCTTATTCTTGGCTCTGTGCTCAGAGATGACTCCTGGCAGGGCCCCGAAGAATACAGAGGGTGCCAGGGATCAAACCCAGGCTGATCAGCTGCAAGGCCAGTGCCTTATCTAATGTACTATCTCTTTGACTTTGACTGTTCATGTTTATCTTTCGCCAAAAATATGGATTAATTGATTGTAAAGAGCTGTCATTTCCTTCCAGGCTGTCAGAAGCTAGGAATGGCCCATGTCTGGGGCCCGGATTGCACAGTGCGGGTGGGGAGGCAGAGACGACCCTCAACCACTGCTGGTGGAACCCGAAACTGGTTCGACTTTGATGGAAAACACTTTGGAGACTTCTCAAAATAGTTAAAGTAGAACTTCCATAGGACCCACAAATTTCACCACCAACATCCCTCCTGCGCGCACAAACACACACACACACACAACACACACACACACACACACACACACCCCTTAGCATCTATCCCAAGAATACAAAAAAAAAGGACAAAAAAAAGAAGAAAAGAAAATGCAAGAACCAGGCGCAAACCTATGTTTACTGCAGCACAAAGTCCAACAGCCAGACATGGCAATAGCCCATGTGCCCAACAACAGTTGAGTGGATAGTGACGGTGTATAACCTATGATGGAATAGGTCTCAGCGTTAAGATGACAACTGCTCGTTTGCTACAACTTGAATGGAACTAGAGGGATCACAAGTCACAGGGAGAAGGATAAATGCCAGAATCTATTGTGACTATGTAGGATATAAAGAAACAAGGAAAGGGACTAGATGGGGCCACAGGAAACAAACCCTCTGGCTCTAATCTCAGAGCTACATTACTAGGGAATGGGCAGAAAGAGAGATGAGGAGGGACCAAGGGACAGTATTGGGAGGGCCAATGGCAGCTTGGTGGTGGGTGTGGGACAGCAACTTTGTACCCCTAAAACTACCCCTCAGTATGAACACAACTGCATCTTCTTCTGGCCGCACACAGTAGTGGTCAGGGCCCATGCCTGGCTGTGCTGGAGGAAACAGTATGCGGTACTGCGGGGGGCCACGGTCAGTCCTGGGATTTCCACCCAGGCCACAGCTGCAGCCACGTGCGAGGTGGGGGTCTCAACCCCTACATTATCTCTCCAGCCCCAACACTTCTATAAACCACATTTCCACGGCAACAACAGTAACAAAAAAAGATTCTGCAGACAGAGAGTGAGCTCTGGATTCCCACGTTTCCAGCAGGAGAACACGCCGGCTCCTTCCCAGTCTCTGGCTCCAGGACCCACCAAGTGCAGAATCCACAAATCTAACCCAACTGGGTGGAAGGCACGGGAGATGCTTTCACTTTAGGAAACTGAAACCCTGGCCCACAAAATCCACCTGCCTGGAATGGAGTAGGGAGAGGCTGGCCTAACAATTCAAACATAGGCCTTCTAATCCCCATGAGGACATGATCGATTGCCTGCTGAGTTCCTGGAGGGGGTGAGAATAGACACCCTCACCCCCGACCCCCAGACTCTGGAATCCTCAGCACCAAGTCCGTGAAATGCCAAGGTCACCAACTCGAAGACTGGGAAGCATAAGGCGGGGATCGCAGAGGAGACTGGTGAATCCATCTCCCACAGGGCCTGCCTTCATCACTCTAAGGAGCATGATCAACACAGACGAAAAGGAGCTGAACATCAACACCAGTCTAAGGAGGATGCACCCCTGGGTGCACATAGTTCCTGGGTCTCTGGAATCTGCAGAAAGGAGCAATCTGTGCACGTGTCAGTGGACAACTGGACCACGTGCTACAGGGCCAAGGTTGAAAGCTACGAGGGTTGGGGGGGGGGGGGGGGCTCCTTCCTGGCTGTCAAGACAAGGAGACACTAAAGGTTTCACTACTGTGGAACAAGGCAGTACCTGAGCATGCTCAGAGAGGTGGGGGAGTAGAGAGGAGGGATGACGGGAAAGGGGGCACAGGAGATGGATAAGGGTTCCACGAGCCTCTCCAGACGGCACCCTCCTAGGTCCCCAATGTCACCTGTCTTTCATGCTACTCATCTCTCCATGTGCCCTTCTTCCCACCTGAGAATGCCCTCTGGCCAATGGGGGGGTCTTCCACCCAATTCCACATATCCTCCAGCATTTAACACACACACACACACACACACGTGCGCGCGCGCGCACATGTGCACTTGTGATCCCCAGCTCCCTCAAACAGAAGTGAGCAATTCGGCTACCTGGGGTCACCTTCTAAGTTATACTTTTTTTTAGCAGCGGCACACGGGGAAGAGCCCACCACACCAACACAGGCACAGACAAGCACCACCATATCAGCACCAGTCCCTTGGAGCTGCCTTGATGCCTTGCAGAGTGTCCGCCCACAGCATGGCATAAACAGCCCCCACTCACCTCTCCCTCCTGAAATGAGCTTTCCCAAGACCCGGGAGAGCTCCGACGGAGATGCACGAGAGCAAGATGTCTTCCCAGCACTGACCACCCACGCCCGACAAACACCCCCCTTCCTCCCTGCTTCATCTCCCCCCATGAAGGGACGGTCACATAATCCTCCCTTATGGACACCAGGCCCCAGGCCCCCCTCCAGCCCAGGCCCTCGCCACCACCACCCCCAGTCCCTTGGTCCTCCATGTAGTTAAAGCCAACACCTCCCAATGCGGCTTCCCCATTTCCTCGCAACTCCCTCTAAGTGTCCAGAGGAATTCTCAAGAGCAAATTGATCAAGATACAGCTGGACTTTTAAAAGGCCACTGAAGAGACTCAATGATGCACTCAAGATCAAGGAAAAGATCCCGCAAGGATCCATCAAAGGGGCAGCACCCGCAGAGAGGCAGAGAGAGCAGTCAGGAAGGCCCAGTGGAGGCAGGGCAGCCTGATGTCAGGCACAGAAGAATGTACAATGAAAACCACATGGCTCACTGCTTAACAAGAGCCGGTATGAGGGGGCCTCGGAGCCCTCATCCAGATACCCGCAGCCATGCCCTCCACTCTGCGGAGCCCACACGTCCTCCAAGGGTCAGAGCCCATCCAGAAAGCCCTCCACAACTCAGAGAAAAGTGCTCAACCTGTTTGCCAGGCTTGGGATGCCAGAGGCGGCGCCAGGAGTCCTGGCTGCCAGACACAGGGCCCGGGACCCCCACATCTGCCCACTGCATCTCATCACTCTGGGCGACGCGGGCCAGTGGGAATTCTTTGCGGCTGCGAAGCGGAACCTGCCTTCTGGGCTGCCCAGAAAGCACGTGCACATGCTCTGTGCTTTGGGAGAGCTGGAATCTCAGAAGCTGGTGTGGATATTTCCGCTCAGTGGTCTGTGTCATTCTCTTCTGGCAGTATCAACAACAGAAGCAACAACGCAAGATACACACACAGGCGTGGACCCACAAGCACCTCAGCCTCCATTCTGCAGATCTCCCAACAGATCTGCCCAAAAGGCTCCTGGGAGAATCAACAGACCCCTTCCTACCACCTCTTGCCAATGTTACAGAAATGTTACAAAATGGTTTTGTAAGACACAATGTTACAAAAGCCACAGAAAGCACCATGCTTGGATAAAAAGACTTGCCAGCCTGGAAACAGCCACCTTGGAATCCCAGGGCTCTCTCTGCATATCCATGGGCGGGAGGCACGTTACAAATGAAAGGGTGTGAGGCAGAGAGGGCACCCACATCTGTTACGCATGGGTAGTCATTCCCACCACGAGGCTCAAAAGTGCTTTCCTAGAGGACTCCAGGGCCCCTGAGGAATGACAGCATAGAGGAACGTTCTTTGAGCTTTTCTGAGGAACTCCAGGCTGGGGGCAGGCACAGAGCTTTAGGCTTGAGGGAGTGAAAATCTCACCACACTGAGAGCCCAGAGCGGGAACTGAGTGAGATGAGTCCAATGCCTTTTGATTCTGTCTTCCAGGATCTTCCTCCAACCCACCCACCAACGGCTCCCCAAAATGGCACCAGCCAAGCTAAGCTGCCATCTCTGAGCCCGCCCTTAAACCAGGGACTCTCCAAGAGGGCAATCTGGGGCTGTGACACCCAGTTGGTCAAGGCTAGTCATGTGGCTCTGCCTCAATGAAAGGACAGCTCTGCCCAACAGAGAACCCAACTTCCGGAAAAGTGACCATTGGCAAAGTGAAGAATTCCCAGCACAAACCAGGCACCCCACTACTAGAGGGAGATGACCTGGAAAGCAACTGACTTTTCAGTGTCTGATAACAAACCTGGATCTCCAACCCTGATGGACAAGATCTCTGCACCACCAACTCACTGCGAACCATTTCCAACACACACACACACACACACACACACACACACACACACACACACACACACACGAATAAATAAGCATGTGACCACACACACATACACCCACATGCACATGTTCTCTTGCAATGAGACTCCCACTCTTCCCTGCACTGTTTCCCACTCCTCCTACCCCCCTCCCCGGGCATGGGTATGATGGGGCTGAATTATACGGCTGCCCAAACTCAGATATGGAAGCTGCCAGACCAGGAGTTTAGAGTGTGGCTCCATTTTGAGACAGGCCATTTA